CACAACCGGGCCGTCCATAAGAGGGCCATCCACAACTGGGGATGGGGCAACCAGCGGCGGGGCGCAGCGAAAGCTGCGCCCCGCCGTTGTGCGTTTGGTGCAGCGTAAAGCACGACCCCTTCGCTTGACGGCTCCAGAGTGAGAACCGGCTGCGAAGACTTCTAGTCCGCCATCAACGGATCACTAGCCGCGTCGTCGCTCCCCTCCCCCGTCGCCCTCTCCCACGGCCAAGGCTTGATCGGTAGCGGAGCACGGAGCGAGAGGTCGTCGGCGCCCTTGGGGATTTTTGCGGTGAGGTTGGCGGCTTCGGCAGGGTCGCTTTGCTCGTTAACGAAGATTCCCTCGAAGACTTGGCGTCCGAATCCGACCGCCTCGCCATCGTTACTGCCGCCATCGTCAACGCCGTTGAAGCCGATGGAGTACACGAGGAACCCGTCGTCGGTTCGCCGATAACCCAACGGACCGCCATAGACGGGGTCGACGGGCGATGTGGCTAGAACATCTGGCGCGAGGTCATCGAGTGATTCGGGATACCCGCCGTGTTCCGCGCGGTGGATGGCTAGTGCTATAGCCGTACGAGTAAGCGCTCGGTCGATTCGATTCCGATCCTCGATCGCAAAATAGGTTACGTACTGCATCGCGGAGATCGACACAAAAACGTCGGCTGCCAATTCACCCCGCGCGGCAGAGGTCCAGATTCGCTCAAAACCCGACGCGGTAGACTGCACTCTCTCAGCAGCAGCGTGAATCTCGGCGTCGATCAAAGCCAAAGCGGCCCGACGGTCGCGACCGTTCGGAATCTTCGCAGCCGCAACAACTTGATCGTAGGTGGCGTCAAGCAGTCGGAGAACAACGTTCCAATCGATTGAAAAGCGTTCCAGGACCTGAAGGTTCAACGACGCCGGATTTGAAGACCCCATAAACCCGATGTAATCGAGATACCCCTTGAGTCGCCCATCGATATCAGATGAGTTGGCCCAGGCGATTACTTCACTCAATCCGTAATAGCGTTCGCCTCGGTCCATCACGTCAGCCATACGACTGGCGGGACCGATCGAGTCGAACTCGCTCAGGAGTGCTCGCAACTCTTCCGCAGGGGTGTCTGGCGCCAAGGCGAGCTGTTGAATCGCCGGCAACCCTATTCCGTCAAATGCAGTCGCTGTCAGTTGGTCTAAAAGAAATGGCCCCGTCGCGTAGTGCGCAGCGAGTTTGCTTATCGCCAGCGCGTCGCTACGAGCGCCGCGCCAATCCTGTTGGCCAATCCTGAAGTGCGTTCGCGTTACGAGAATACGAGCCGATTGGCGAGCCGTTGACATGGTTGCAACATCGAGCCATGTCGATGGATCGCTCTCTCCCCGTATCCACGCGGCCTTGGGAAGACCCCATCCCGCTCTCTCAAGACCCGCCACTAAGTGGTTGATCGCCGAGGCATTCTCATCAAACCAATCGGCTAGGAACGGTAGATCGTTCTGTGACCAAGGCCGGTCAAGCATGCTGTCATAGTAAAACCGGGCTCGCTCGTCATTGGCGACCTCCTCCTCGCTTAAACGCCAGAAGTCTTCATCCGAGATGCCGCAGCAGTCGTCATCCCAAGGCTCTACTGAAGACTCATCAACTTCTGAATCGTTGCCGCCGCTTCCGATGTTCACGATCTCTATGTCCGCAGGACGCGGGACTCGCTCTCGATAGAGTCGCACTGCCCCAATTCTCACTTCCTTCGAGAACAGTGAAGGAATCGCTCGGGTTTCATCTGGCGGCCACACAGCGCCAATCTTGTCGAAGACAAGCTTGAGATTGTCCTTCTCGGACGGCTCGAGTTTGTCGAACTCTTTGATATCCATCGCCTCCAACAGCGGCACCGCCGCGTTCGTCTCCGGTGTCACGCCCTTCATCGTGTCGGCCAGCAGCACCGCGGCGTAATCGGGCAGGCCATCTTTGCCGAGCGGCGTCGTTAGGTGCGTTGTCGCTTTGCTGACGATGATCGGCGGGTTGGGGCCCACCGTCGCGTAGAGGCAGTAACCGAAGACGATCAGAATCGTCACGATCAGCAGCCAGAACGGCAGCATCGATCGCTTCGTGCGGCGGTGACGGTCGAGGGGCGAATCGAACATGCCCGCACTGTAATCGAACCTCCGCACGGCGGCTCAACAAAACCTCACGCCGCTCGCGGCTTCGCGGCGCCGCTCGCCACGCAATCGAACTCTCGCCAATCCGGCAACACCGGCAACCGCTCGCGCCGCCCCGTCGCAACGGCAATCGCTCCACGCAAAACGGTCTCCGCGGCGACGCGCCAGCTGCTCGGCGCCAACGGCTTGTCGGCGACGAGTCGCTGCACCCACTTCATCGCCACGCCGACGCGCCCGTCGCGGGCCGCTTGGCGGGCCCACTTGCCGCGCGGGTCGGAGAGCGGGCGCTGCGACGCTTCACGCTCGGGGAGCGGCGGCAGGCCGCGCTCGGCGCGGGCTTCGCGCAGCAAGCGCGCGAGCCGCTGCTGTTGCTCGGCGCGCTTCGTCCAGCAAACCGAGTTGGCGTGCAATCGATAACGCACCAACGGTTCGGCGAGGTTCGCCAGTCGGCCTTCGCGCGCGAGCCGTAGCCAGAGGTCGGCGTCCTCAACCCACTCGTACGCGCTGCGATAGCCGCCCGCGGCGAGCACGGCGTCGCGCCGCACGATCACGGTTGGGTGCGCTATCGGCGCGTCGCCGGCTAACAGCGCGTTCTCGATGGCCTGGTGCTCCGTCACACACGGCAGCGTCCGCAGCACGTCCCCCTCGGGGTCGATCGTCGTGACCGCCGAGCCGACGACCGTCGTCTCGGGGCGGCGCCGCACGAAGTCGAGCTGCGTCTTGAACCGGTGCGGCAACGCGATGTCGTCGCCATCAAGCCGCGCGACCCAATCGGCCCGCGCTTCGGCGAGCCCGCGGTTGAGCGCCGCAACGATGCCGCCGTTGGGCTGATCGATGATCCGAAAGCGCTGGTCCGCCGCGGCGTAGTCACGGAGGATGTCGAGCGAGCCATCGGTCGACCCATCGTTGACACAGACCGCCTCCCAAGTGGCGAACGACTGCCAACGCAAACTGGCCAGCGTCTCGCGCAGGTAGCGCTCGCCGTTGTAGACGGGCAGGACAACGCTGATCGCGGGGCGTGGCATGCTGGGGAGTCTCGCAATCGATGGATTCGAATACGTTGCGTAGCACTTTGGACCGAGACGG